TCTGTGTGTGTGTGTGTGTGTGTGTGTGTGTGGGACAGTTGCTGTCAGGTCTTGTCTTATCAGACTGGACACAGTGTTTTCATGTGCGTCGTTGATTACCGTCAGCACACAATGCCTCCTGAGACGCAGACGGAGGGAGAGGTGATAAGACGTCAGGTGCAAGGTCGAACTCGCCGATAAGATGCAGCTAGAAATCTCTGCTGACCAGAAATACAGACCCTGCCATTATTTACTCACTCATATCGTTCCAAACCCATATGACTTTGTTTCTTCAGCGAGACACAAAAGGAGACGTTAGCAGAGTGTTCGGTGAGGAGCAGCGTGAACCATCTGCTAAACATCTCCTTTTGTGTTCCACAGCACATGAGCGAGAGGAAATTATTTTCATATGAATGTCTGAAGTATTCATCATATGTAAGATGAACGAGTGGATGATTGACAGCAGCTTATGAGGTTTGATAGGATGATGTACAACCGTCTCGTTTCATACTCCACAACTGGAATAATACAGATGTGGAGGAACATCAGCATTCCTTCTGTGTGATTTAATGCATGTTTAAACGGAGACATGAGCACTAAAACACGCGTGTGCTGACAGAAGCCTTCCAGACAAACCACTGCTGTTAAAGTACACTAAAAAACAGATTTAATTTCATTGAAATAATGCTGAAATAAATATAAATATTACATTTAAAAAATGCAAATGTTGCTTTGGAATTAAATAAAATAAGTTTAAGTACTAAAATAACTAAAACTGAAAAAAATAAATGAAAGCTAAGTGATATATATATATATATATATATATATATAGAAACAAAGAAATAAAAATGACAAAAGCACAAAATCAAATTTTTAAAATTTAAACTAAAATTAAAATAAAAACAAAAAAATAATGTTAATGAATACTATAATGTAGTAATTTAAACAATACTATTAGTATAGTATATAATATAGTACATAATGTATTATATAGAATTACAGTGCATAAAAAGTAGCATTGAACTACCACGAAGTTCTTAAAATACCCATGTAAATGTCATTTGTACATTAATGTTTATTTTAAAGTACTATCCTATAGTATTACCTTGTGATAGCATCACTGTACTATACTGCCACAGTACATGTTTGTACAGCAAAAACAGCAAAACGCAACTCTAACTAAAAAGTGTAATAGTATTACTATGTTTTATTGGTTATACCATGATGCTGAATGATCACCATATTCAAGTATTAAAAAAATGGTATTCTAACATACTAAAAAAGTAGCGTTTACATTATCATGATGTTCTTAAAATACCCATGTAAATGTCATTTTTACATGAATTTACACTTTAATGTACTATAGTATTACCATGTGATGCCATCGCTTTACTACGGTACTGCCACAGTACAATTTTTAAGGCAAAAACAGCAAGACACAACACTAACCAGTAATACCATGCTTTTTACCAAGCGTTTTTGGACATGTACAATGGTAATACCATTATATTTTGAAATATAAACACACATATCATATTCAGGGCAATCTGACATACTTTAAAGAATACAAGATAAAGCATTTTTGTTAGTAAATGATGTGGTTTGGGAGGTTTTGTATGATTTGTTCAGTTTGACTGAAGGGTTTTTGTGTTTTCTTGAGACTAAAACCATCAGGACACTAGATCCCCGTCTCATTCTGATCTGTCTCGTGTTTTGATTGGTGCTTCCTTTAAACACCAAAACAACGACAAATCAAGCACTGTAATCAGTCAGGAAACAACAAGTCCAAGAAGTGTTTTGGATGCTCAGTTTCCGCACACGTCATTATCAGCAACTGGCACTTTAACAAGGAATTACACACTCATTTATCTGGAAAATAACAATCTGAAAGTGATTCATACGAATGAGAAAGAAGAGGAAGCCGGGCACCTGATCTTGTAAAAGTCATTACAACACACATCTGGTCTGGAAACCTACTTTAGTTGGTCACTCGTGTCGTGAACTTGATGTCTATGGCTTGTGTTCTTCATTATTGCTCTCAGTTTTACTGTAACGATGCGTGGGCCGAAACGGGAAGGCCAACAATGACTGTCATGTTATTCAGGAAGGGACACACCTGCTTCCTTTTCCTGTACGGAAATCAGAATACAACTTTAGCCGCAAACGCACAGGCAAACAGAAGCTGGACCTTTGTGTCTATTCACTAGTCAGAATGATATCATTATGTTTAGAAACCCATATTGTGCTTGTTCATCCCACTGGGAGTCTGCAAACACAATCCTAGAGCCACCAGAGTGCTGTACGTTAGTCACAGCAGTGAGAGTTTCACTCTTTAGTTGCTATGTGGCAGAGCAACACCCTAGCAACCATATAGAAATGCATTAACAAGCACCTAGGGCATCCTAGCAACTGCATAGCAACATATCAGAATCCACCCATACCACCTCAGGAACCACATAGCAACACCCTAGCAACTGCATGGCAACATATCAGAAACCACCCTTACCACCTCAGGAACCACATAGCAACACCCTAGCAACTGCATGGCAACATATCAGAAACCACCCTTACCACCTCAGGAACCACATAGCAACACCCTAGCAACTGCATGGCAACATATCAGAATCCACCCTTACCACCTCAGGAACCACATAGCAACACCCTAGCAACTGCATAGGAACAACACCCACAACACCCTAGCAACAACTCAGAGCAACATACATCTGTGCCCTAAAAACATCTAGAACCTCATAGCAACATGCTAAAAACCACTTAGAACACCTCAACAATCATATAGCAACCCCTTAGCAACAGCACAGAGCACCTTAACAACTTTATGTCAGTGACATAGAAAACATCTAGAACACTTTAGAAGCCATCTAGCAACATATCAAAACCCACTCATAACACCCTAGCAACTGCATAGTAACGCCCTAGCAACTACTCGGAACATTATAGCAACTGTATAGATATGCCTTAGTGAACACCTAGAACTCCTTAGAAACCACATGACAACATATCAAAATTCACTCATAACATACATAGCAACACCATAGCAACACCTCAAAAACTATAGCAATTATATATCAATGCCCTAGAAAACACCTCATAGCAACCTGCTGATAATCACTTGTAACACCTCAGCAACCATATAGCCATAACACTATAGCAACCGTATAGATATGTCCAGGCAAACACCTAGAACACCCTAGCAACCACATAGCAACACATTAAGCCCACTCATAACACTGTAAGCAACCACATAGCAACAACTCTGAACACTATAGCAACCATATTTCAGTGTCTTAGCAAACACCTAGAACTCCCTAGCAACCCCATAGCAACATATCAAAACCCAGTCATAACACCCTACTAACCACATAGTAACATCCTAGCAACTATCCAGAACATTATAGCAACCATGTAGATGTGGTCTAGCAAACACCTAGAACTCCTTAGAAACCACATGACAACACACTGACTGACAGTGTATATACACACATAGCAGGTATTTTTCACTGTGTTGTTCTCTGTTTCAGGCGCAGCCGTCGTCCCTGTCACCGTCACCAGCCGCAGTCCTGGAGTGGAAGTGCATGAGTTCTCGGGTGAGTGTGTGTGTGTTTGCGTCGTCATGGAGACATCAGTCAGATGATGTGCTGTAACTCCATCACGTCTGCTGTTCTCCACAGACGCTGAGCTCTCCTGTGAGTTCAGGACAGAAAACGACAATAATCCTCGCATCGAGTGGAAGAAGATCGACAAGGATGTGTCCTTCGTTTATTATGACGGCCGTTTTGTAGGTAACCAACGCTTGTGACCTATCAAATGAGAAATTAAGTTAGTAACTGCTTGGAACACACTAGCAACCATATAGCAATGTCCTAGTAAACACCTAAAATATCCTAGCAACCACATACTAACATATAAAAACCCATACCACCTCTGGAACCACATGGCAACACTCTAGCAACTACTCAGCACACCATAGCAACCATATATTAATGACCTTAACACCTAGAATATTCTAGCAACTGAATAACAACATATCAAAAACCAGTCATACCACCTCTGGAACCACATAGCAACACCCTAGAAACCACACAGCAACACCCTATCAAATACACACAACACCCTAGCAACCATATATTAATGCACTTAACACTTACAATATTCTTGCAAGCGCATAGAAACATATCAAGACCCACTCGTACCACCTCAGGAACCCCATAGCAACACCCTAGCAACCAAGGCAAGACATAGCTCTGCCCTAGAAAACCAACTCATACCATCTCTAGAACCACTTAGCAACACCCTAACAACCACTAATAACACCCTAGCAACTATTTAGCACACCACAGCAACCAGATATTAATGCCCTTAGCACTTAGAATATTTTAACAGCTGCAAAGCAACATCAAAACCCACTCGTACCACCTCAGGAACTACATAGCAACACCATAGCAACTACTCAGCACACCATAGCAACCATATATTAATGCCCTTAACACTTACAATATTCTAGCAACCACATAGCAACATATCAAAACCCACTCATACCACTTTAGAAAGCACATAGCAACACCCTAGCAACTACTCAAAACACCATGGCAGCCACATAGCAACACCCTAGCAACCATTCAGGACACTCTAGCATCTGCATAGCAACACAATAGTAAACACTCAGGACACCATAGCAACCATATATTAAGCCCCATAACACTTAGATTATTTTAGCAACTGCATAGCAACATATCAAAACCCACTCATACTACCACAGCATCCACATAGCAACACCCTAGCAACCACTCATATCACCCCAGCACCTGCATAGCATAGCAACCACAACACTGGAGCACAGGCAAACACGATTTCAGTCTGAAAATCTAGTTTTTTGTTCTCATAGTTGCATGTTAAAGTCGTTTGACTGTTGTCTTGTAATCAGTGAGATTTCCCCTTCTAATCAGAACAGGAAGTGCACAGATTCTGTGTGACACAATATAAATGACTGCAGTGGAGGTTAAAGAGATGAGTCTATTTATGCGTCTGATTCTGACATGAGCGTCAGTCCAACAGCTCACTTCCTGTAGAAACATACTCCTTTTCAACTTTACTCCAGTAAAAGTACTGAAGTAGATAATTTTTTTATGTACTGAATGTTTGTTTTAATTATTTTGCAAGAAATGATAATTCATGAGGGCAAACAAAATGAATCGTTTAGTGCGATTTGGGAACCGATTCACGCATCAGACACCGCTATCCCGTCCCAGAGCAGGTGACGATTTCTCCAGTTCGAAATAACGAGGAACGACATGATTTTATAAAATGTAGTGGAGTAAATAGTACAATATTATGCTATAAAAGCCCGTTTCTGCTACTGAATTCTGCTACTATTGTGACTTTTTATCTCAGAATTGCATAATAGAAACTTGCAATTGTAAGAAAATAGTCAGTCTTTTTTTCCCTTTAGGATTGGACTTTATAACTCGCAACTGCAAGTTTATATCTCACTCTTCTGAGGAAAGTCAGAATTGTGCAAAAAAGCGTGTGTGTGTGAGTGATTGTGTGAGTGTTTGTGTAAGTGTGTGTAAGTGTGTGTGAGAGAGAGTGTGTGTGTGTGTGTGTGTGTGTGTGAGAAGAGTCAGAATTGTGTGAAAAAGGTCAGATTTGTGAGATATAAACTCAATTGCGCAAAAAGGTCAGAATAAGATATGAACCCGCAATTGTGCAAAAAGGGTCATAATTGTGAGATAAAATCGTAATTGCCCAAAAAAAGGTCAGAATTGACAAATATAAACACAATTGTGCAAAAAGGTCAGAATTGCAAGATATTAATTCGTAATTGCACAAAAAGGTCCGAATTGTCAGATAAACTCAATTGTATGAAAAAGGTTATAATTGTGAGATATAAACACAAAACATTGCACAAAAAGGTCAGAATTGTGCGATTTTAAAAAGTTGAAAGTCATTCAGAAATGTGCATGTCTCTCCTGTGTTGTTCAGGGCCGTTTCACGGCCGCGCGGAGATCAAGGGTGCGACGGTGCGATTGCACAGAGTGACTCAGACCGACGCGGGCAAATACCGCTGCGAGGTCAGCGCTCCGCAGGACACCGTCACGCTGGGAGAGACCAACGTCACGCTGACAGTGCTGGGTAACTCGCGTCTGTCCTGCTGTCTGGCGCTCTGTGTGTTCTGCTGGTGTGTGACGTGTGTTTTGTGTGGTTTCAGTGCCTCCGCACACGCCGTCGTGTGACGTGCCCAGCTCGGCTCTGACGGGCTCTCTGGTGCAGCTGCGCTGTAGGGACCGTCACAGCATCCCAGCCGCCGTCTACACCTGGTTCAAAGACAACCGCGCTCTGCCCATCCAACAACCCAACGCCACATACACCATCGACGAGAAGACCGGCGTACTGGTGAGTGTACACACACACACACTCACACACACTTGTAACGTAGTTCTTAGTCACGGGAAGAAGGAGGCGGGAACATTCAAATAAAACTTTAATAATAAAATAAACACAAAATAGCGCGACAGCCCCTCACGGACGACTGCCGACTCATGTGGCATTTATTGTAAGAAAACTCTTTGAATGTGTCATTTGATTAACCAGTCATGATTACTATACTGATTCAATTCACTGACTGAATCAAGAATCAGTCTGAGTGATTCAGTGAGTGATTTGAGTGATTCAAGAGTCCAAACCTGAAACGGTTGTTGATTCTCAGCCGGCTGAAGATGATGATGATGATGGTGTGTTTGACTGTTCTTCTCTTGTGTTGGTGTCAGACGTTCCAGAAGGTCAGCAGAGCCGATGCGGGTCAATATCACTGTGAGGCCAGAAACGGGGTGGGACCCGGAAAGAGCTGCCCGTGGACACACATGCAGATCGGTGAGCAGTGTGTGAGAGAGTGTGTGTGTGTGAGTGTGTGAGAGAGTGTGAGAGAGTGTGAGAGAGTGTGAGAGAGTGTGAGAGAGTGTGAGAGAGTGTGAGAGAGTGTGAGAGAGTGTGAGAGAGTGTGAGAGAGTGTGAGAGAGTGTGAGAGAGTGTGAGAGAGTGTGAGAGAGTGTGAGAGAGTGTGAGAGAGTGTGAGTGTGTGTGAGTGTGTGTGTGAGTGAGTGTGAGTGTGTGTGTGTGAGTGTGTGTGAGTGTGTGAGAGAGTGTGAGAGAGTGTGAGTCTGTGTGTGAGTGTGAGTGTGAGTGAGTGTGAGTGTGAGTGTGAGTGTGCCAGGGTGCCGTATGAAGGATGTGTTTGCTGGAGTTTGTGATGTGTGATGTCTGCAGATGATCTGAACGAGGCGGCGCTGATCTCTGGAGTGCTGCTTCTGGCTCTGCTGCTGTTTCTCTGTGCGTTCGGAGGGTTTTACGCTCATCGGCACGGACTCTTCAGCCGTGAGTTCAGCTGATAAACTGACCACTTTCTGATTCACATAGTCCAGTCAAAAGACTTGCAAATTGATGGATACTTCTTTGAAGAATTAAAAAAATTAATACATTTTAAAAGTGAAAAAAAAAGGAAGATTTATGTATGAAAATGTATATAAATTATGTGCAAAAGAAACATAGTTGAGCAGTGTTATTTATACTATTATAAGATTTATTAATATTTTAAATTGGCTATCATTTTAATTTTCAGTTTTCATTTTAATTGTTTTTATCGTTTTTAATCATTTTAATTTTAAGTTTAATTTGGGACAAAGTATAAATTTCTGCTCTAATTAAATTTTCTTTTAATGAATTGATACATTTATACACTTGTAACTCTTATAAACTTAATACTTATACTTTTAATAATGTCAAGTCCAGATCAAACCTTTCCCAGAAAAAAAATGCATTGATTATTATTATTTATTTTGTTTAACCTCAGGATTTCGTTAATCCTCTGTGGTGGAGATTATGAACAGAATTTTGAAAAAAAAAAAAAAAAAATTGCTACAGTTTTACTTTTTTATACGTTTTTATTGCATTTTTTTAAAATTTTGCTTTATTTTTATTTTATTTCAGTTTTAGTCATTTTAGTACTTCGCCTTTTGTTTTAAGTTTTTCAATAACATTTATATTTTTACTTGAGCTTTATTACAACAGTTTTGAATAGTTGTAGTTTTTGATAACAATAGTAACACTGAAGTTGATTTTGTCATTTTTTATATCAACAGTGTATCTTTAGTTCAGTTTCCTGACTCTTATTAATGTTCATATTTCATAAGTTGTTTTTACATCTTGACTTTCTTTTGATTTCTGCTTCTGACTGAACCGTCACACACAGGACACAGAGGAAGGTATGACAGCTAGTTTACTGCTTCACTAACTGTGTGTGTGTGTGTGTGTGAGTGTGTGTGTGTGTGTGTGTGTGTGTGTACACACACACACACACACACACACACACTCACACTCACACACACACAAACTCACACTTACACACACACACTCACACACACGTGAAGAGAGAGAGTGTGTTTGGTGATTTTTTCTTCTGTTTTTTGTTCTTGCATCATCATGTGATTGCTGGATTGTTTAACACTGTTATTTCTTTTGTTTCAGTCAAAATTCAGGCTACAGTCATCCTCCCAAAGAAGTGAGTGAGATTTTCATTTCAGTCAGACTGATTCATAACCATCTGTCATGCAAATTATCAACACTTGGAATAATAATAATAATAATAATAAAAACAGTAACACATAAATAAATAATAATATTTATATTATAATAATGAAAACGACAAAAATATAAATAAATTTAATTAATAATAAATTAATTATAACAAAAACCTAAATACAATAAAAAAAATAAAAATAAATTAATAATAAATAATGAATTATAACAAAAACCTAAATACATTAAATAATAATAACACATGTATAATAATGCTGATGATAATAATATATTACATTACAAGTAGTGTGAATTCACGCTTTCCTTATTAAATGGTTTATTACTACATATTAAATCAAAATATTCATTTGTTTATGCATACATATATATATATATATATAACACACACACACACGTGTATTTATTTATTATAAAACATTTAACTATATTTATTTAAAACATAAATAAATAATAATACATTTATATTATAATAACGCCAACAACAAAAATAAAAATAAATTAATAATAAATAATGAATTATAACAAAAACCTAAATACATTAAATAATAATAACACATGTATAATAATGCTGATGATAATAATAATAATAATATATTACATTACAATTTAATCAGCAGCAACATTTTTTTTTAAGTTTTTTCTTTTATTTATACACTTAATGTAATTAAATTTATATTAGGTAGATCAATAATTTATACTATGACAAAATATGTAAAATATTATTTGCACATTTATTTTGTTAAATTTTTTCTGCTCTTATAGTACTGTACTATTATATATTTTTTTATTTTTATACTTTTTTTTTGTACATTTAAGCAAATCAATAATTTATATAGTACATTAATATATTATTTGCAAAACGTTTTTCTTACATGTTATAGCACAGTAGTGTTAGATGTGTGTTTTATTGTTCACTTTAATTTCATTTTTTATTTTACACTGTATTTTGTAATTGAATGCATGTTGAGCAGATCAGCGATGACCAGAAATGTGATTGTTTCTCAGCCTCAGGATTTCAAGCACACTCAGTCGTTCATGCTGTGATGGGAAGAGCACAGACGGATGGATGGATGGGGATTGTTGTGACACTGGAAGAAACAGCTGGAAAAACTCAATAACATTCAGTCTCTGCTGCAATGATGCTCCTCTGATGGTCTCCCGAAGCCTTAAACCAGTCGATGACCTTTGACACGCCGTGCCTTTATTTCAACTCAATCATGTCTGTATCCGAGTGTGGAATGGGCTGAATTATTGTACATTTTATCAGTATTTCTGTTTTTGTTTTGGAATAAAAATATCTGCTTTTTGTCTGAGTGTATCTGAATTGGAACATTTATTTATTTAGCAGCTGCACGGTGAGCAGAAATGAGATTTCATGCTGAATTACAAAATTGAGACCGAAAAAGAAAACGGTATTAAAGCGTTAGTTAGGCTTCGTTTGTTAACATTAATGCTTTCACAGACAATATGCTTCTCACAGAATTTGTACAGAGTTCAAGTTTGTTCTTTAATGCATTTTTAAATTGTATTTGTTCACCTTAGTTAACTATATTAAACAAAACTTCTACTGCATTAATGTTATTTCAACATTTACTGATGTTTTTAAATCAAAAATTGAATTTTAGTCACTTACCCTAAAGTTATATTTTGTGTTTAATCAGCGTTTATGCCATGAATAAAAGCCTAAAGTAAATCATCACAGCGATCAACTGTATAAACCTCTCGATTTATATAGATTTTACAAGTAACTTTTTGAAGCTCGAAAATGTTTTACCTAGATTTTCAGAGGATGGACAAAAAAATGAGTATTATTTTAATATACTATTGTTTTTTTTTTAAATATATTTGTGTTTTTTAAATTTTGTTATAATTTAAATTAAATTTTCAAAGTATATTTTTGTAATTTATGTCCATTTTTGTAATATCTATAGTTTTATTTCTATTTTATTTTTAGTGCTGTCAAACGATTAATCGCATCGAAAATAAGTTTTTGTTTACATTATATATATACACACGTGTGTGCTGTGTATATTTATTATGTATCTATAAATACACATACAGTATATATTTTTAAAATATTTACATGTAAATACATTTATATTCGTATATATAAATATTTAATATATAAACAAATTTTTCCTAAATATACGTGTTTGTATTTATATATACATAATGCATATACACAGCACACACATATATAAACAAAACTTTTATTTTGGATGCGATTAATCGACAGCTCTATTTATTTTATTACTTTAAATGCAACTAAAATAAACGAAAATTCAAATGTTGCCTTTTTTTTTTAAATACATTGTTTCAGTTAATGTTTGAGTAACAGTTATTTTTTTTATTCATTAGTTTTAATGAACTATAACCCTGGAGCAAATATTAAAAATATCAATGTGTAACTGAGATGAAGACCAGAATTAGAAAAATCACAGACGAACTGATGTTTCAACCAAAGACTGTTTATTAAATATCGAGCTCATAATTCCAGCGCAGTTACAGAGATGTGTTCATCATTTAGTCGTCACATCTTCTAGTTTGGCTTCTGTGGAAACAACGACACGACAAACATGCAGATCAGTCAACGAGCAAAGACTAAACAACTAGTTATCCCACCCAAACTAACCTAACGGACAAAGCTAGCTCTGTAGGATCAGCTTCAGCAGTTTTCTTTATCCAGATGCATCAAACATGAGCTTCATATCTTACAGGAGCACTGACCTAAGAAATTATGTGCGGATTAATAATCTGTTCCTGTAGCTCAGATGAAAATCATCCTGCTTTGCACCAATTATTTCATCCACTGCTTTCCTTGTTAAATGTTTTATTACTACATATTAAATCAAAATATTCATGTTTATGCATATATATATATATATATATACACACACACACACTTGTATTTATTTAATATAAAACATGTAACTATTTGTATTTAAAAATGCAACAATACTAATATTAATAGATTTTGTATCATTGATGTACTATTATAGTTTGTTAATATGTTAATAAGTTTTGGTATTTTTTTATATGTCTATATATAGTTTGATTTAGTTTTAGTCATTTTAGTTGTTATTTTCTTTAACGTGTTTAAAATTATACATTTTTATTTCAGTTTGTTATTTGATAATTTAGTACATTAATTAAACTAAATGAAACTGAGAAATGTTGTTCTGGCAAGTTTTTATATTTTATTTCAGCTAACGTTTATTTCAAGTACTGAAATGTCAAATCTAAATGTATTTATAAAGCACTTTGAAAACCGTACACAAAGTGCCGTACACTTCCAAAAAATCTAAATAAAATAGAGTAAAATACAATAATAAAACACAAAGTCACATCACCTACAATAACTAAACACATGAGTTTGTTATTGGAAGTTTATCTCGTGAGTGTGAGATGTTTGTACAGCATGAGAGCTTCAAACCCTCATCCTCCTCATCATCATCATCCTCATCCTCCTCCTCATCATCATCATCCTCATCCTACTCCTCATCATCATCATCCTACTCCTCATCATCATCCTCATCCTCCTCATCGTCCAACTCCTCATCGTCCTCATCCTACTCCTCATCATCATCATCCTCCTCATCATCATGCTCCTCATCCTCATCATCATCCTACTCCTCATCGTCCTCATCCTACTCCTCATCATCATCATCCTCCTCATCCTCATCAAGCTCACCTGGGAATCTGAACTGAGGGAAGTTGGTGAGGTCTCCTCCTCCGTATAAACGCTGGAGTTTGGTCATCTCCTCCGTCAGGTTCTTCTGATACGCAGGACCCGCTTCAACCACACCACCAGCGGCGGCCCTGCGACACAAACCAGAGAAACCAGTCTAGACCAGCGGAAGCACAGCACCAGACGTCTCAGACGAGTATGGGTCAGCATGAGTGCGGCACACACTTGCTCTTGGTGTTGTACTCGCGGATCTTGTCTAGGAAGAGCTTCTGCACGGGATCCAGGTCTTTGGCTTTGTTGAAGACGACGGCGGACAGACCAATGTTCCTGCGCAGAGTCACGCTCACGACCGAACGCAGCAGAGACGACACACACCAGAGACGATGAAGAGCCATGATCTGAAGACACACACGCACACACACAGAGAGAGAGAGAGAGAATCACACTCACGAACAAATGCACACAAAAGAGCCATGACAAAACAAGACTGTATGTACATTCAAAACTTTATTTATGGAATACAGTGTAGAAAGCGCAGTTTATTTCCAGTCAAAGCAAATGACACAGAAAAATGCCACTGAAAGAACCTCATCACCATCATCTTTATCTAACCACCTCAGATCTGATCAAACCACAGCAACACACGCTGAGAATTACCCAGGATTCATCACGGATCTGAAAACATGAGGGAGATCCTGTAAACGATTGGTCACACGATAATAACCATCAGTTTATACTCATTATCATTCATGAGACGCTTTCTAAAACTGACTACAACAAAAACACGTGTTCGAGTGACATACAGAAACACTACAGCAGACAGACGAGATGCTCAGTGCATCTCCTCCAGCTCATATTTCACCTCAAAATCAAAAGAAAAAAATGAGAAATAATATTTTGCATGAAGAAAATTTTTTTTTTTGCATTGCCACATTATTTGCATGTAAATTAAGCACATTTAACCACAAATCTGCATTACTGTAATGCAGCAATGAATGGAAATTATTAAAAAAATAAAATTACAACTCGGCATTCATTAATAACATTCAATACAATCATGATAAATACTTACAACTGCACAATTTAAATACATTTTCCTGCATTACAGTAATGGCAAAAAATAATAATGCAATGCAAAATCTTTTTCTTTTGATTTTGCAGCGAGACAAAGGTGTTTTTTCTTCTTCTCTCAGATCACTGCATCAGTTTCTGCAGCTCCGCACTGAAAACTGAGACTGCTGCGTAACACGAGAGATGAAGAGACAGACAAAGAGTGATCTAAGAACAACAGACTGACTGGATAGAAACACACAAACAGACCCGCCCCCGAAAACACGCTTAAAAAACACATTCAACCACGAGTCCAATGGAGAATCAAATTAAAGATAAGGAAGAAGTAAATAAATCTCTGAAATGCATAGGACGAAAAAAACATTAAAGACAGTAAATGTACATCGACAGGATCTCAGCCGGATTTAAAAAACAACCAGATCTTGAAATCAAAGCATTTAAATTCAGTTTAAGTTCTATTAGAAGCTGAAGCCAATTTAGTCATTTTTTTGTGCAACTCAAATCACATTTTCACAAGTTACTGTTTAATCCTGCTAAAACGCCTCTACGTGAGAAAAGACCGAGATCCAAATAGCAGAAGAGTTTTCCCGTCATTTTTTCTATCATGCACTACGTAGTTACAACTAGCCTTTCTTCTTTTGCATTACTTAAATATCGACAACTAAAAAAAAAAAAATTATTTTAAAATTATCACTTTTTTTCTTTTTTGGAAAAAGAAACCACAAACGATCAAACGTTTTGAAGATCTCATTCAGAAGGACATCGATTACCAGAATAATCTCTGACGGGTTTAATGCATCACCTAACACAGCGCAGCTGCAGTCAGTGTGCGATGAAGAGGAGGAAGAATCAGACAATCATCCTCAGATATCCCAGTGTTTCACTTGGTTAGTAGTGCGAGAGCAGACGGTGCAGCGACACAAAACCCAACTCGATACGGTCAGTCAACAGATCAGATTCAGAAAGCTTAGGGAATGATGAGATCAAACTGATTTCATTAGATACAAAAAATCTGGAGTGAATTTAGAACTGTGCATTGCATTTGATGTGGATCACAGAATTTTCAAACTTTGTGTTCAATTTAAACTGAACTCGAAACTGATCTTAACAACATAAACCGAACAGGAGGTCACAGTTAAATCAAATCTGGAGTGAAATTTGGTTTGAAACTAAAACTGAACTTGAAACTGACCCCGACAGCATTAATCTGATCATCTTCATGTTTGTCCGGCAGACGCCTGGAGTTAATATATAGAACTGTGCATTGAATTTGATTTGCAATCACATTTAAAACTGAATTTTCAAAGTGAATTTGAATTATGTGTTCAATGTAAACTCTGCTGAACTCGACACTGACCCGAAAAGCATTGATCTCTTCATGTTCATGCTGGTCCAGACAGTTGCATGGCATAGTTGAAAACAGGAGTGAATTTAAAACTACATTTGAATTATGCACTCAATCTGATTTGTGATCTGAATTTGAACTCTGCATTAAATTTGAAACTGAACTCATGTTTGTCTAGCCAATGGGAAGTCATAGTTAAAAAATCTGGAGTGAATTCACAACTGTGCATTTAATTTGATGTGAATCAAATTTAAAAATGAATTTTCAAACTTCACATGTTTAATTTAAACTGAACTAAATTGGCCCTTGATCAGATTTTGATTTAGGCAGTTAATTTAGGAGAATCTGAATTTTCATTTGTGAATTGAACTGAATTTGATTTATGCATTAAATTCGATTCAATTGTGTTTAATTCAATTTGTGATTTGAATTGAATTCAAATTAGGCAATCAATTCGATTTGTGATTTGAATTGAAATTATGAATTCAGTTCTACAGTATGAGTGATTTGAATTTAAAACGGAATTTGAATTGTCCATTCAGTCTGAAACTGAATCTTGAGACTGACCCAAACAGCGTTAATCTGATCATATTCTTCTAGCCCATGGAAGGTTAGAGCTGAAAAATCTGCAGTGAATTTAAAACTAAATTTGAATTATGCATTCAGATTGAATTGTGATTTGAATTGTGCATTCAATTTGAAACTGTATTTCAACTACTTGAAACGGACCCCATCTGATAAAAGTTGATGTTCGTCCAGCCAACAGAATTTTATAGTTGAAAATCTGGAGTGAATTCAGAACCGTGCATTGAATTTGATGTGAATCAACTTCATATGTTCAATTTAAACTTGAAACTGACCCCAACAGCATTAAACTCATGTTCATGCTTGTCCAGCCCAGTTTTACAATCTGCAGTGAATTTAAAACTAAATCCGAATTATATGTTTAATTGTGCATTCAGATTGAAACAGCATCTTCAATAACTTGAAACTGACCGAGTTCATATTCGTCCAGCCAATGGGAAGTCATGTTTGACTGACAGTCATGTGAAGTGGCCAATAGGAAGTGAGATGTTAATGAGCGGTGAGGTCGGGCTGGTGTCTCCTGCACCGTCTGCAGAGGTGAGGAGGAGGAGGAGAAACAGGGAGGAAGAGGAGCGTCACACCATCAGTTGTGCATTAGTTCGAAGAACTTGTAGGTGGGGTTTTCATAGCCGTTCTGCTGCATCTTAGACAGGTGACGTTCCTCCGGGGTCACAGCAGCATCCACCTGAGAAGCAAATGATTCAGACTTCAAATGAATCACTATTTCGACTCATTTGATTCATATGCATCATGTCACGGGATGAATTAAACGAACACACATGTGTGCACCGACTGACCTCAATGATTCCGTGGTGGATGGATGTGTACTGCTTCTTCCTCAGCATCACCAGGGTGATGACGATGATGGTTGCTATGACAACACCTCCGACCATCAGGCCAATAATAGCTCCCTTATTGGAGCTCACGTCCTCAGCGAAGAAAACCTGAACACCAGAAACAAAAGACAAACATGAGATTACAGTCACACATGCTGAACTCTCATCAGAGACGTGCTGCATCATAAAATACTGAAAATGCAGGACGACTGACTGTGAAATGAAGCCTATTAGAATGCAGTTATTGAGCCTAAAATTCAAGATACGAGGCAAAAATTTACATATTTAGATCATATGATATAGTTTAGCAATATCACACCAGCAAGAGTGCTGCTTTCCCCCAACATCTGCAGCATTGCTAATGTGATACTGATTTTATACAACAGTTCATATTAAGCAATATTGTCAGAATTGTCTGTTTGGCTCAATTTCACAAATAAAAATTTTCCAATCAAAGTCACAGCTGAACTGTTGAGTCTCTGATCGACACACAGCAGTCATCTGTTACTGAATGAATCCACATTTTTAAATGAATCGAGTGAGTCAATGATTCAGTGACTCATTCATAAAGACAGTCACTTGCTTCGTTTCTGAATGAATCAGCTGTTTTTAAAAAATGGAGTGAGTCAATGATTCAGTGATTTATTCATTCACTTGCTTCGTTTAGGAATGAATCAGCAGTTTGAACAAATCGAGTGAGTCAATGATTCAGTGAATTATTCATTCACTTGCTTCATTTAGGAATGAATCAGCTGTTTAAACTAATCGAGTGAGTCAATGATTCAGTGATTTATTCATTCACTTGCTTCGTTTTAGAATGAATCAGCAGTTTGAACAAATCGAGTGAGTCAATGATTCAGTGATTTATTCATTCACTTGCTTCGTTTTAGAATGAATCAGCAGTTTGAACAAATCGAGTGAGTCAATGATTCAGTGATTTATTCATTCACTTGCTTCGTTTTAGAATGAATCAGCAGTTTGAACAAATCGAGTGAGTCAATGATTCAGTGATTTATTCATTCACTTGCTTTGTTTAGGAATGAATCCGCAGTTTGAACAAATAGAGTGAGTCAATGATTCAGTGATTCATTCATTCACTTGCTTCGTTTTAGAATGAATCAGCAGTTTGAACAAATTGAGTGAGTCAATGATTCAGTGATTTATTCATTCACTTGCTTTGTTTAGGAATGAATCAGCAGTTTGAACAAATCGAGTGAGTCAATGATTCAGTGATTCATTCATTCACTTGCTTTGTTTAGGAATAAATCAGCAGTTTGAACAAATCGAGTTAGTCAATTATTCTGTGACTTATTCATAAAGACAGTCACTTGGTTCGTTTCTGAATTAATCAGCTGTTTTAAAAATGGAGTGAGTCTATGATTCAGTGATTCATTCATTCACTTGCTTCATTTCTGAATGAATCAGCTGTTTGAACAAATCGGTTGAGTGAATAATTCAATGACTCGCTCATTAAGACAGTGAGTTGCTGCCACCTATTGGTGGCTATAGTTTCATATTGATCTTTTTATTTTTTTAACCATTTCATATTCAGTATTCAGATTCATATTCATATTCAGCATTTTGATAGCCTTAAAAGTTTTTATAATAAAGTCTATGATAAATCAAAACATTTCTTTATAAAGCTACTTTTTTTGTATTGTTTAGATTAGGTATTCTGGTTGACATATTTCAGCCCTAATATGTAAATGTACCAGTTTCTGGTGGTAAACTTCACTGTGTCTCTCTTCAGCTTCCATCCGCAGCTCAGGAACATCGTCAGGCTTCAGTCCAGACACTGAACGACAAACACAGAAACAATATTAAATACTGGAAATACAAGTGTTTTGGTTTTGAAACGTTTTAAACTCATGCAGCTGGAATTGACAGTTTACATGCACTTCTGTTTCAGCTCTACATTCTGAATATGATTTTAACATCATACATATATCTACACATGCATGTTTTTGCTGGGGTGATTATTAGATTTATTACTACTTTACACAAACTTTTAACTGGGACTCAGACACTTTCAAGGTGACCATCAAAAATGCAAAAATATATATATTTTTAAATATGTCTATATTTACATTTTTTTTATTATTTCAGTTTTAGTTTTAGTTATTTTAGTACAAATTAAACTAAATTAAAAAATGAAAAAAGCTTTTTATATTTTAATTACAAGTACCTGGTCGGGTCGGCAGGCCTCGGTCCGGGACAGGTCGCGCGTCCACCGGCTCAACTGCAGAGAGAGACACAAGCGAAATATTCACTTCATATTCACATCAAAACTAGATTTTGCACCGAAGAAAAATGTCTGTTGACTTGATTTGATTTGACAGGAAAAAGTTACATGATTGTTATTGTTAACTGAAACTAAAAATGATTTTTTTTGTTAGTGTGTAGTGTGTAGCATGTTGTTGAATTGCAGCAGGTCTGTGTTCCTGATGCCGGATGTCATATATGCTTCCATATGGCGCGCACTGCTCTGACCTGGCTCACACACTCATGAGGCAGCTGGGGCTGCTGGGATACGTGTGTGTGTGTGTATAAGTTTATAAGGTTTATGAAGACACAAATGTGTATAATGACATATGTATTACAATGTGAACATGGTTTATGAGGTTTAGACTCTTCCTGTGTCCCCGTAAACCGAATGGCTTTAAAACATACTAAAATTTGTGTGTGTGTTTTTTTTTGAGAACCTAGAATTGCCTGTGGTTTTGTGTGAGGGGCAGGTGTGTGTGTGTGTGCATGTGTGTATGAGTGATTGAGTGAGTGAGAGTATGAGTGAGTGAGTGTGTGTGTGTGTGAGAGTGTGTGTGTGTGAGAGTGTACTGGTTTATATATCCTGGTGGGGACTTAAAGTCACTGATTCAGTGATTTATTCAATCATGTGTCTGAATGAATCAGCTGTTTGAACAAATTGGTTGAGTGAATAATTCAATGACTCACTCATTAAGACTTAATATGACTTATTTGCCACTTACTGGAGGTTAAAATTTCAATTGTCAGGAAACAGCAATACCAGTGATTACTGTGTTATTATAGGCGTCTAAACATGACAATGAAGACTTTTTTAAATTATAATTTTTATTTTTCATTTATTAAGTTACATTTTCTATGAGTTTTAAGTTTTCTTGTCATTATAAATATTGACATTGTTATTGTTATTTATATTATATATATTACATATAAAATAATTTATAAATATTATTTTCATAAGAATTCTCATTAGATTTTTGTCATTTTACTGTATTACAATAAAAGACTAATAAAACATTTTTATTTAAATCAGCATACAGTAAATGCAGTACAATAAATACTTAAATGATGCACAAATAATTTATATTTATATATTAGCACGGTCAACTTTAAAATTCTAAATGCTATAAATATATCCATTTGTAAGTTGCTTATATACAGTATATACAGTGGGTACGGAAAGTATTCAGACCCCCTTAAATTTTTCACTCTTTAGGGGGTCTGAATACTTTCCGTACCCACTGTATATAAGCGAAGATGTTAAATGTTACTTTTTTTAAATGTTACCATTTTTAGATTTTTTTGATGCTGAAAGGGAGGACAGCAGAATTAAACAGAGATCACGTGATCGTGGGCAGAAAACACTGCGGCGAGCAAATGAA